TTAAATAATAATATATCTGGGACTTTTGCGTTCTATTAATATTTGGAAAAATATCCTTTAAAAAGAACATCCTCCAAAAATTATATTAATAAATTATTATTTACTTATTTTTTTACAAGTACAAATAGAAGGTTTTTTGAATTGCTATGATTAAAAATTTGCATAATTATCATACGAATATACATGTGTAGGGATGTAAAATTCGAGTAAACTCGTCATAATGTGACACATTGTTACAGTCGAAACTTATCAGCGCTCAAAGAAACACCGACGAGAAACGCGTACATTAAACATTTGAGCGCCCGTAGCGAAAAGCAGTAACGATCAATTTCACGCGTATATTGCCCCATAAACTTTTGTCCGCGTGTGCAGAGGCGATCTAAACGCTAATTAATTTTTTATAGAATCATGAGAGACGGAGCATCGTTAAAGGATCTCTGGCAATGACATTTTAATCGAATCACATTGCCCGGAATGCGATACGACAGACATTGTGCGCTGGAAGGGTAAATGACTGCCGCTGATTGCGAGCTCTCGTGTCGCGGTATACAATCGACGTCCGATGCGTTCGAAAACTACAAAACCCGGACTAATTAAAAGGGAATCAGGAGACCCGATCGTCATTGCCGCTATCGCATCGCGGTAACACGGAGCTCTCTCTCGGCCTCGCGCCGCGATCGACCGAACGTATCAACGAACGCGCGCGCAAATTAAATATTAATAGCGCAATTAGCGCCGATTGTACCTTAATCGGTTTTGCCGCTTTTTCCCAACATCCACAAATTTCCACGTCCGCGACGCGTCGCGAACCATCCGCAAAAAATTCAGCCGGACGCGGCGCTATCCGTTTGCGCGCGCGGGTGCAACTGTCATCTTCTTGCCGCTCTTGTGCAGTCCTATTAATTTCAGATTATCGCAAATTGCTGGCGTTGTTCTCCGTTATGAGATTTTCCCGGCAAGGTGGACGCGATAAGAAATAAATGATAAATTAATGCTCCCTTTAGAGCAAATTGTTTTTCGGTTATATCTTTGAAAATATAGAACCGATTTAAAATACGGATTTTAATTCTAAATATACATATAATTATTTTCTCATCATATATATTATTTTATAATATTTTTTTAAAAAGCCATAATACACTTGAGTCTTTTTTTTAAGTTGACATATATATAAATATAAATTATAATTATTCACGTCTGTGCTCTTGATGCGGGAATTAAGTGGGATCTGCAAACGTAATGCGAATATTTATAGCGCGGCCGACAAGTTTGTGCTCTGGAGGATTTGTTTTGTTAATTACTCAAGTCGATATTACTTAATTCACTTTTGATTAACGATCGTCTGTATACAGGGACAAGTACGGGAACAATGGGTACTAGGGCCGTTGCCGTTGCGGCGGCGGCAGGTGCTGCCGGGATGTCTGGCGAGGCTGGGTTGGCTGGTGTACCGAGACTGTTGGAAGATCTGGCGCGACTCTCCGAGGATAAGGACTCAGCTGATATCGTGTTTCTGCTAGGGAGAGACGAGACCCCAGTTTATGCCCATAGAATAATACTTCAAGCCAGGTTGGTCTTAACGAGCCATTATTTATGAAAACACATTAATTCTATTCTTAATTTGAAGAGAAACAAGAAAACAGGATCTCTCTCTCTCTCTCTCTCTCTCTCATGATATTTCTAGAGAGTTATATATTAGATTAAATAGCGAATTAAATTCCTAAAGTATTACGGGAAAAGCGCCGACAATATTAAATAAAAATATTTAAAATATATTCTTGAATAACTTAATAAGTAAATAATAACTTAATAAATTAAATAATAAATAATAATAACTTAATAATTAAATAATAAATAAATAATAAATATTTATATATAAATAAAAATATTTAAAACCGTACACGGTTTTCAAAAATATTACAGGCATTACAATGTAATTACGGTAATTAGAAATTTTACTAAAGATTTATTGGATGTAATAAATCCCGACGAATTACTCGTGCAAAATTCTCGAAGGAAAAATGATATCATTTCTATTGAGCAGTTATTTCCGATATTAATCGATACCGCCAACAATTCGAATGACGAGGCTGCATGCACTTCGATAAATGGAGAAGCGTGATGCACTCTGGGGGTATTACATTAATTGTCAATAGTAATTATTATAACATCCCACCGCGCTATTTTGTCGACCGAACGAATAAGATTTCCTCGGAGAATTTATATACTATATATATATATAAGCGTGCGATGAATCATCAGGGGAGAGTCAATATCGCGATTTTATAACGCATGTGCTTTAGATATATAGAAATATTTCCGCTGCAAATATCAGTTACAATATTTGCAACGTGAATATATGTATCGTGCGGATTTAGTTTAATGTAAGATGAAATAATTTATTTACAGGAATATTTTTGCAAATTTTTAATGGCGATAAGAAAAATTATTATTTAATTTAATAAGAAAATTATTTAGCAATTCATTAATTAGGAATATTAATGTAAGAATCAAAGTTTCCGTTGAAAAACAAAAGATTTCCTTTCACACGAGCTACAGATGAAACAAAGAATTAAGTCAATCGTTCTTAACACACGGAAAATATTATTAGAAAAAAATAGAAAGGCACGATTGTCGAAAGAAGTAGCGATTTATTGAATTCTTCTGCACCGAAGTTCGTGCGACTAATGAATTTTAATTAAGGGAATGTTACGGCTTATGAAGATAGTTACGGGGAAACGAATCGATCGGCTGTTCTAATTAGGTAGAGGTAGACTAAAAGGAGTACTCTTTTTTCCGGAACTCTGCATCGCTTCCATCTTTCGACGCATTTTCTTTCTCTCCTTTACTCGAATTCATAAGGAGAGGACTCGGTTGATATTTAGGGGAAGGGTAAACTTGTCCGAAGGGTTGGCGCATCGTGAGACAAGACGGCGCTAATTGTAAAGTCAATTATGACATTTCTGTGAATCCCTTTAATATCGGGCGCGGAAAGTAACGGCAAGGCCTTTGTCATCGCGCCGTCATTTCCACCCTCTGCTATTATTCTCTCTCTCTCTCTCTCTTTCTCCTTTCAATTTCTATCTCTATCTCTATCTCTCTTTTATTTCTCTGTCTCTTTCTCTCGATTCGGCCGTCCGCCAATGCGAACCTGGGAAAATTAAGTTACGCGTGTTCGTGACAGATGTCCGCAGTCGAAACGAATGGACAATGCTACCGCACGCTCAAACTCTTTACGACGTGAAAATCGTGATAAAGAGACGCGTACTCGAGAATTCGCCCGTCCGCGATGAGTACTGGCTAAAAAGGCGGAAATAAAATTTTCTAAGAGCGTATTACTGTTCCCTCCCAATAGGCCTCGGGTAATCTTTCCTTCGACGGAGTTTCAGGGTATTACAGCACAAATGTAAATGGCAGGAAAATTGAAGTCAGACGAGAGTCAAGGATATATATATATATAAATGTATAAATATAATTTTTTCGACCATGTTAAGTTTTTGTAAGAATTTCTACAAATATTGCAATAATTAAAAATATCGGGCCTGTGTTAATTCCATTACATTACAATTACAGTAATAGTTTTGATAATTGACTAAATGGAATAACAAACGATATATTAATAGCTCTTTACGCCGTACATATAAAAATATTATGATGAAAACTCAATTTATTTTTACATGAATTGGTTACGAAAATTAATTAATGGCAATTCGTTTAATTGTTGGTAATTCGTTTGTCGGATAGCAAAATAAATTTTTCGTGAAATCTCGGTGCAGACAGAGAGAGGTAATCTCCTACATCATATTTTCGGGGAAAACCGTGGTTTATAAAACACCAGTTTATTTGGATAAACATCATTTCACCCTTCCTTGATTTCATACGCACCGTCAACACTCTCGAGTTTCGTGTCGAGAGCTCGAAACTTTGCCACGTCCGTCGAAAACGCTCAGCTTAACCGAGGCCGGAGCGGTTGGCTATATTTTCGCGCTTTTCATCCACTTTACCTCCGGTTTTCTCACACGATCTAGGCGTTTCATATATTTTGTATGTTCCTAACGTCCGCTTACGACTATGCTCTCTTAAACTGAATCAGTGAAAATATTACTGATTAAAGCAGTGACAAGATTTTACCAAAAATCAGTAAAATATTTTAATGATCTTTAGTAAAAACATTCACCCTTTGCTCCTCCGTCTTATATTTCACTGTAATTACGGCACACACAATAAGATTTCATATAACTAATATTTAAATTCAGAATTATATGCATATTACATTTCTTTTTCAGATGCAATTATTCTACAAAAATAAATTCACAAGATTCTTGGTCAGACAAACTCAGATATTTCTGTAATAAAATATATTGCTATGAATTTATGACATATATAATATTAAGATGCATTTTTTTACATATCACTGATTGAAAAAGCCGCTAGCATTAACTGATTTCTTCAACAAAATTTATTTGCAATGCTATACTTATAACTAAAATTACTGCTTACCAGTGATAATACACTGATTTCATTTAAGAGAGTGCCGTGTAATTTCAAAGGCTGCATGTCCTTTGACACAATTATTTTTGATTCGATGGAAAGTGCTAATGTACTTTACACAATCGCACTTTGCACAATCCTGACGTCTTAAATTCTTCTTTAGCGTTCCAATTAATAAGTGATTATTTATATATGATTTAGATAGAAAAAGATTCATCGTATTATAGGTTTCTATAATAGCAAGATAAGATTTCTATGCATTGTAAATTGATATATGATCGCGTTCAAATGACAATACAATTATTTTTCCTTCCATTAATAAAAATAAAATTATATAAAACAATACTATTGCAGTGAGTATTACATTATTATATGTATTAAATCGCGTACTAAAATCGATATTAAAGTCATATAATTTTACAGAATTGTCCGTGAAAAGAAAAAATACTACACAGTGAGCTATCTTTTTTTTAATAAAGAAAATGCTTGCAACGAGTGCTCGCTGAATAGCGAATAAGCAGAATAATACAAGAGCTATTAGCAGATTCAACTTCCGAGCGTCGTTATTGAAAGTATGAATTATCATGGATTTCTTTTTCTTTCCATAGAGAACTGTCTGGCAAAACTAATTAACGTTGCTAAGTAAGACTAGGTGGAATAAAAACAAAGTGTCTGTCTGAGTCGATTGAAAAAACGAATCAATTTACGCTCCTCTGTTCTACGTAACCTCGCTTCTTTTTGTCTTTCTCCTTGTTGGAAAACACTCCACTTCTCGTAAATTCAATTTCGTTACGATATATCGAGGAGGTCACAATAGTAATACCACTAGAATGTCGGATTGTATTTTTCTGGACATGACATTTATTCGATTTCTCATTTAATTATATATCAGTTCTCGTTCCAATCTACCTATTCTATGAGATATTATGCTGTTTGTCGAACAGAATAGCGACGTATGTGAAACGTTTGGCTTTGCGTTGTGTACCAGTATTTTATACAAACTCACTGTCAATATTTGAAATATTGCTAGGCGCGTTCACTCGGAGGTGATAATAAAATAGAAGCTCGATATTTGCCAGCACCAAATACAACTTATTCAAATATTTAGAGAGAAATTATACTGTTTTTAAATAACAACAAAAATATTTGCAAAGCAACAACTCTTTTATTACGCTGTTAAAGTTTATCGACCTATTTTAATCTTTTGCAAGCATTTTTCGCGTTCGTTGCATCGATGGTACAATTTATAGTATGATTCAAAGAGTAGATCGAACAATTAATAAATTTTATGAAGGAGAACGTGGGAGGGATATCCTCTCAATCCACGTATTTTCATTCTGCCTTCACTATCTTGTTTCCAATGTAATGGAAACAGAGATACGCGACGTGAGGGTGCTTCTGAAGGTTGCCATTAATTTCTAAAGGTAGGAAGAACACGCCTCTGTCGCTGTATCTCGGTTTCGTGTGTCTCTACAGCTTCGTGACGAAGTTAATTAAGCTCTTTCGTTACGAGAAGCGTACGAAAAGTAGCGTATACGGGAAGCGGCGGAGAGGCGCTTGTTTATTCTGAGAGAACGCGTCGGGATAACAGACTGCGCAAAGCACAATGCAATGCCGAGCGACAGAGACACCGTTTGTTTTCAAAAAAATTATTTCGCAGGTGCAAGAATTTCACGGCCGCCAAGAGAATCGGCACAGCCAGTAATCCGACACCGGTGCGAATGCCGCATGCGCATCCGGAAACATTTCGCCAGTTTATTCGTTACATTTACACCGGCATGGTAGGTATCGTATGCAATTTGATAGCTCTCTACGTACAATCAAATCAGATCCCTGTGATTTTGCAATACCATTTTGTCATTCGGTACTCTTCAGCACGATACTTTCCTCGCACAATCTCGTTTTTTTTTTTTTTTTTTTTTTTTTTTTGGGGAAAATTTTTAAATGGTAGGCAATGTCGGTTTTGGTTAGGCTAGGCAAGGCAATGTCGGTTTTGGTTAGGCTAGGCAAGGCAATGTCGGTTTTGGTTAGGCTAGGCAAGGCAATGTCGGTTTTGGTTAGGCTAGGCAAGGCAATGTCGGTTTTGGTTAGGCTAGGCAAGGCAATGTCGGTTTTGGTTAGGCTAGGCAAGGCAATGTCGGTTTTGGTTAGGCTAGGCAAGGCAATGTCGGTTTTGGTTAGGCTAGGCAAGGCAATGTCGGTTTTGGTTAGGCTAGGCAAGGCAATGTCGGTTTTGGTTAGGCTAGGCAAGGCAATGTCGGTTTTGGTTAGGCTAGGCAAGGCAATGTCGGTTTTGGTTAGGCTAGGCAAGGCAATGTCGGTTTTGGTTAGGCTAGGCAAGGCAATGTCGGTTTTGGTTAGGCTAGGCAAGGCAATGTCGGTTTTGGTTAGGCTAGGCAAGGCAATGTCGGTTTTGGTTAGGCTAGGCAAGGCAATGTCGGTTTTGGTTAGGCTAGGCAAGGCAATGTCGGTTTTGGTTAGGCTAGGCAAGGCAATGTCGGTTTTGGTTAGGCTAGGCAAGGCAATGTCGGTTTTGGTTAGGCTAGGCAAGGCAATGTCGGTTTTGGTTAGGCTAGGCAAGGCAATGTCGGTTTTGGTTAGGCTAGGCAAGGCAATGTCGGTTTTGGTTTAATGAGGGAACATTTTTAAATGGTAAAAGATCGATGAAAGTTTTATAAATAAATATATATAACATTATTTCATTGATATTATCATTTTTAATTTTTGAAGGCATATTTTAAATCTTTCTTATTATTGAAAAAATTAAAATTATAAAAAAAGTATTTTTTACGGGGATAATTTCGCGAGGAAAATCTAAATAAATATTATCTGCAAAATATTACTAATTTTAGAAAATACTTAAAAAAATTAGTATTTATTGCATAATATTTTGTAAGATTCTTCTATATGCTTTTATATTTATAAAAAAGTTAACATGATTTTTAAAATACTTTTTATCTATTTCAAGTAGTGATTAAGCTTGTGAGATAGATAAAGTTTTATCTCTTAAAATTCAATATTAGATTTTAATTATTGCACACATGTTGGATAATTAAATTCTTCTAAATCTCTATACATATTTTGAACGATAAGATATTGTGTGCAAAAATCTTATAAGCCTATTATATTGCGCAAGATTACGATAAATGGATAATTATAAATTCTCTCTCAATTGATTGCAGATAATATTACAAGACAGTGGGATTTTCGAGATGCTGGGATTAGCACAAGAACTTGGTATCGAGGAACTTTGGAGAAGTTGCGAGGAACATGTATCTGCCACTTTAAGTCCCGGAAACGCGTGTGCACTTTTAACCGCCGCTTTGGAGGCTCAGGAACGAGTTCCAGGTATTTATTTAAATATATATATATTAATAATTTCTCGCAATTTGCGTAGTGCATGCCGCAAATTAGACACTTTGAAAACTTTTGATTCTCCAATTGCGTTATTATAATATACATATATGAAAAAAAATATAGAAAAATTTTACTCACGGTACCAAACGAAGATTTCTCTTTTATCGATACCATGTTTCACCGTATATACGTTTTCGGCAGCACGATACAGATGTCTTCTCGATCCATTTTTCCTAGCAATAAAATATAAAACGTGAAATATAAATAAAATATAAAAAATAATAAAAAATATAAAAAAATAGATAATAAAAAACTATATTATTTTAATCTTTAACGAAGTAAATAAAAATCATTATCGTATTTTGATATATTGTTCAAATAAAACGACTCGAACGAAATAATATACTATTTATATATTCAATCCAATATTTTACAAAAATATATAATTATTTAAATATTTTATTAAACGTAGAATATTATTTTTGATAATAAAAAAACTATTTGCTGACAAATATACGAAAAAAGTTAAATACAAGTTTTCAGATAAAAATTGTCTGCTTTTAATAGTTCTAATAATGTGAAAAAAAAACAATTTTAAAGACACTTATATTACAATTATGGCTGTTAATAGCATTTTTCATGTCGATATACAAGATGCACTGTAAAATCGGAAAACAGCAACATTCAATCTTATTCATTTATTATTATTTAAATATTAAGAATAAAAATGTAACTGATAATATTAACAAAAAATTAAAACTGATGTAATTTCGGTGAGTTTAATTTCCGATGTTTTTTGTAGACGAAAAAAAGAATCTTATATTGTACTTTTATTTATTCATGAAAAAGCAGAAGGGTCATTATCGCATGCAATGGTATCCAAATATGAACTCAACAACATTATATCATTAACTTATTATTGTCAACAATATTAATTAGAAACAAAAATATATGCACATACTTGGCGATTGTCGTGCATTCATTGCAGTTGCATGACGTTCACTGCATTTCGGCGAGAAAACTTTTGAAATGTACGAAACAGCGATTCCCTCCGGATAAAAAAGTGGATTATCGAAGTCATAATACGGATTGCTCGCGATATTTAACGCGTTACCTATAACACGACGAACGTCCGACACTACGAGAAACACTCGCGATAACTTCTCGCGCGGGAAATCTTTTCGAAAGAATAACAATGGCGAAAAACACGGAGCGATATATAAACACGACTCTGCTATGGTCGCGAGATGCATCCCGACATTGGTCGCGTTCAGCAGAGAAAACCGCTCAGTAGCAATCGAATGTGATTGGCTCTTACTTTTAGAAGCAACAAATCAACGTCGGGTGTTGACAAGACGATAACTGAGCGCTGTCTCTGCCGGACGCGACCATTGGCCGCATTCATACACTTCGAATTATTCGATTGACCAATCAGGACGAAGCAGCCGTGAAAGTGACTAGTGTCGGCATTGTCGGCCAATGTTGTCAGGTTGGCATCATTGCCGCGAGATCGCCATATTTGTCGGCGTCCCACGCTACAAAACACGCTTGCAAAGTATTCTGTGTTCGTCGTTCGTTATCCAATTTTTTAAATACCGGCACGAAAAATGTCGTACAAGGGACCGCAGAAAGTCCAGAAGGTGATGGTTCAGCCCATCAACCTGATATTTCGCTATCTGCAAAATCGTTCGCGCGTGCAAGTCTGGCTGTTCGAGAACGTGAACCTGCGGATCGAGGGTCACATCGTCGGCTTCGACGAATACATGAACCTGGTGTTGGATGACGCCGAGGAGTATCACCAGAAGACGAAAAACAGGAAGCCACTCGGACGAATCATGCTGAAGGGCGATAATATCACGCTAATACAAAATACCAATCCCGGTGCAAATTAATGACGAGAGGAAGGCTATAACCTCAACCCGACAGGAAATTTGGCGGGCGAGTTTGACAGACTGATTTCTTCAGAGTTTCTTGGACTGTGAGAAGAGCTCTCAGGAAGATTGTTTAACTGTAAAAGTTGAGGTTCTTTAAGCGTGAGAAAAATTGTATTTGCGTGATGAATGCGTGGATGGAGATTTGTAGTTTGTAATACTTTCAGTTATCTTGATACAAAATTCTACTATATGAATACTGACAAATGCGAAATACGATCAAATTTTGTTATGAAATCATCCGATATTTTATGTCAATGAATATCCGGATTCGTCTAATATAAATTTTTGTTCAAATTTAAATTTGAAGAAATATTCTTTACAATATATTATCATGCATTGCTAGTGCTTATTAGCGGTATAAACAATGTAGGATTATATTTTGTATCCAGTTTTTGTGGAAACTCACGCTGAATGTGTATTGTGTGACTCTAAAAAAGATAAATAGAAAATATATATATACGCAATAATTAAATAATTTCATATTCTCTAAAAAATGTCTCTATTTATTTTAACCTAGACTAGATATTTATTAAGAAATATATAATCTGTATAGCAGGAAACAAAAATAAAGAAATATAGTTTTATAGGGAAATAATATGTAAATATATATTGAGAATCATATGATTGAGAAAGACTAAAGAAATCGATATAAGAGAAGTTTACCAAAGAATAAATATATATATTTCCAAGAAACTATAAAAGGTGAGGTGTTTATAATTTATGTGCTTATAAAAAAATCTTTTTAATTATATATATATTTATTACATTTTAAGAAATATTTCTTGTAATTTTCAAATAAATTTTTGTTTCTCTGTAATTATTTAAAAAAAAAATCATTTTCAAACACTATTTAAATTTAAGTAATATTTACAAAAACGATTTTATAAATAAAAATTATTTATTTGTTTCAGGTGGGAAAACTGCATGTTCATCTTTTATCGAGAAATGTTTTGCTTTTATTGGGGAAAACGCCGTGGACACTGTAAAGACGACAGCATTTTGTAATCTTCCAAAGGATGCCTTGGTAAAATTGATATCATCGGACTATCTTGGTTTGGAAGAAGAGGATGTATGGCGGGCTGTCCTCAATTGGGCAAAATATCAGGTCTGTTTATTTTGCTCTATTTAATTACTTGATATGCTTCAAATTTATCATAGCAATTCAAGGATATGATTTTTAATTTTATTATTCTTTTAGGCTGGGGTGACACAACCTACGCAACACTGGACTGAGGAGGAGCGTTTAAGGGTGTGTCAACATTTGTCTGGTGTGATAAATCATGTAAGATTGTTGCTGATAGACAGCCAAGTATTTGCAGAAGAGGTTGAGCCGACCGGAGCGGTGCCGATAGAAATGTCGTTGGAGAGGTACGAATTTTTCAATCCCGATCGATCGAGCGGCTCGAAATTTCTAAGGTATGATCTAACGGGGCGGCATTCACCGTTTGGTGGTATCGCCTTCGATCTCGACGTTTCGCTTTAGGTATAGGTATGCAGCTCTGCCGAACAAGTATTCGGAGATTTGTTCTGACAAACGGCTGCATCCGCGAGTGAGTCCGTTCCTTTTTCCGAGCTCGCAGATCCTTTCCAGAGACAAAGTGGGTTTCCAACGACTCTTGAATCAATGGTACGGAATCTCTAAACAGAGTTGGCGATTAGTCTACCGGTAGGTTTCAAGAGTATATCATGTAAGAAATATTTGAAAAGAAATATTGTTGAGAAAATCATTGATTTATCAGCCGAAACACTTTGAGAGATAAAAATAAAATTCTTATGCAAAAGATGATATTGTTGAACTTTAATTCATTATTTAATTCATTATAATTAACAATGAATTAAATAGTTCAACAAAATCATCTTTTGCGTAAAAATTTTATTTTTATCTCAAAGTATTTCGGCTAATGAATCAATGATTTTCTCGATAAACCAGGCATATATTTATACATAATTACTGAACAATATTTAAACATCATTTACAATGTTTTAAACATTGCTTATATTTGTTTATATAATTTTATTGTATAGTCTGCGGATAAAATGCGAATATCGTCAAATCAAATGTGTATATCGAGTTGTACAATGGTGATTCACAAATTATTGTTTCTAGAGCATCCACTCATGGCTATTCCGCTGCGTCTTTCCATCGACATTGTGATAACGTTTGTCCAACGTATGTGATAGTGCTGGTGGGTATAATTATTTTTATTTCAAGTTTTCTGTATCTGCTACAATAAGTATCTTCTATTATATTTTAGGGAGTACGCGGCGAAATATGCGGAGGATTTAGCGATGTTCCGTGGGGTAAAACTAACTCCAAGGCGCAATATATTGCTTCGGAAAAGAGTTTCCTGTTCACATTGACGAATAATCAAGATGTACCGCCGACAAAATTCGATATTGTGAAGAAATCATTCGCAATCTGCTATCATCCCGAGTAAAAATCCACGATTTTCGTAGAAAATTTTTATGGTCATTAAATTTTCAAATTATATATAAATTAATTTTATTTAATCTATATTACACATTACAGCATAGGACCGATCTTTGGTGCCGGAGCTGATCTGCTTATATCGAGCAACTGCAATGTCAACAAGGAGAGCTATAGCAATCTTCCGCATAGTTACGAGGGGGATCACGCGTCTAATCAGCTACTCATGGGAGATTATCACTTCTCGGTAGTTGATTATGAAGTTTTCACCCCGAGTCATCCTGTTCCCAAATCCAATCATTGAGTTAATTATCGTGATAAAATCAGCATTTCAACAAATACATCATTTGTAAGAAATATACTTATCTTATTTGTTACATTTTGTTCGCGATTTATTAGATATTGCATATTAAAAAAATGGCGATAATTTATCCGTCGTGCCAATTATATTCACGTATATATCATCGAAAAAAAAATGACATAATTAAAAGACTGATTTTGTTATTTTATATTTTTATATAATTATATTTTACTTATACTTTATATATACTTATGATATTTTTTTATAATAATGTCTGACAAATAAATATCAAATTTATCTGTTGAGTATATACTCACGTAATATCCATATCGGCTTCGACATACTCCATAGTCTAAAAAAGTAAGTATATAAATGTTCTGTACTCTCGTGAAACCAATACATGACTTATGTATTCGTCAAACAGAACATTGCGAAAAAGACACATACGTCAGCGTAGGCAGCACGAATGTGTGTATTTATGAAACCGTCCCATCGAGTATTCTTTGCATACGTACATTGAATATTCATATCAAAGTATTTAATATGAATATGACTAAATGCGGCCGTCTGTCACCTAACATTACCACGTTAAACAGTTACATTCGTAAAATCAGTCTAGCCGACCTCGTATTGTATTTTTCGCGATGAATTCATGTATATTTTAACGTCAAGACGTGAGACTCAATTCCTCATATTTGCTTTATAGAACAAGACTGTTATTATTAATAATAATGTTAGTAATTTTGTAAAACAATGTTGCATTCTTTTTATAAAATTAAACACTATTAGAACATTTTTAAAATTTTTTATTTTAAATATTATTACGATTTCCTTTAAAAACAAAGTCTTTTATATATCATAATCACATATCAAAATGTTACCTAATATATTTTACATATAGTTTTGCTATTTTTTTAAATTCGAGTTCAACAATTTTTTCAGTAATTTATTATGCAATAAAAATATAAAACATTTAAATAAATAAGATATTCTTTTCGTCATAGCGTGTTGCAGTTACAATGGCAATTGTATAAATGTATATTTAATAATCATAAATTTTAACTCTTCAATGCTACTCGAACCTCTGAATGTTCACGATTAGCATAAAAATAATGTTATAATGAAGTATAATTTATCTGGCATGTTTTGTACAACTTAATTTATTTATTTAGCGAAAGTATACTTATTCTTCTATTTCTTTCTGTTACGATTCGGATTTCATATTTAGATTTTACAATACAAATTTTGTAACAATTTTTTAACCAAATTGGAAAAAAATGCAGGAAACAAATTATTATTCTGATGTTTGTCGCCATCCATTACTGTAGAAGAAAGCTAATGCATAAATCAAAGGAATTATTATAATGCAATAATCAAAGGCACATGTCATTTAAACAGGTCACATTATTTAATGTTTTACAAAAAGGTGGTAAAATAATGAACTTTTATTATCGTCTATAATATCTGTGTACAAGTAAGTACTTACTGGCCCGGTCCCGTTCCCATGCCAATCATTTATTTACAAATTATTTTCATCTTATCACTATTAAACAACATATACGAAATATTTTACATGTTTCGCATACGTTTGACTAAAATGATCAATTAAATATAATAAACTTAGAATATATGTATATATATATATTGTACATGTGTCCGGGATAAAACGATTTCTTAAAATTGCAGATATTATACTGGCCTTTATTGACTACATTCAATCTACAAAGAGTGCTAACGAGACGTAGTATCAACAGTGATCAACAATAAGTAATTCATTAAAATTTTATCTAACAATTATACACATCAAATACGAGACGAATCTTGGATTGCGCTACGAACAAACGTATGTGAGAGAATAAATGATAATATGTACGTCTTTCTTATATATGTACAAATTTTATATGCATATGTACACGATTTTTTTATAAACATTCAGAATTGCAATACGTAATTCTAGAGTATTTATCCAGAAGCGTCTTATTTTTTGTTATATATCAAAAATTAAAGAATGTTTATCTCGAGAATAATAAAATATAGAATGCAAAATATAAAATGTGCAAAATATTATTTTAGAATTATAAGAAAAGGAAGAAATATTAATCATTGATATATTTTACATCTGTATACATTTTTATATATACATATATATTTTTAATTTTATTATAATTTTATAAAATGTATATATACATTTCACAAAATTATAAAAATTATAAAAAATATATATTTTATAATATTTTGCAGCACTTCGAATTTGTTGATTTATCAACAAATGTTATTTATCTACATTTGTGTCTTAGAAATATATGTACTTGAAAGTATTATTGCTTATTCGCGATGGATAACTTCTTTGTATAACTTCTCATAATGCAAACATTCGGATTAAATCCTACTAAATGTCAGTTTTTTAATCAGATCGACAAGTTTATCTTTTTAACTGATATCGCAAATAACCGTGACAATATTATGGCCACTATGTCTAACACTAATCACTGACGCCGCTATCGATGTGCTTATTGTTAAAACATATTTTACATTTGTACCTTTAAGAGAAATATAATATATCTAATTTGTATCTGTAATAATATCTATGTATAAATGTAATAAGATTTAATATCTATTTTATACACAATACTATCGTATGCATAATACTATCTTAAACTAATATACATAGTATATGTATATTAATATACATATACTGTTATATATATTTCTATATATACATATATTATTATTAATATTATATGTTGGTATATTAAGAGAGAACATGATATTTATATATATATATATACATAATGTATATTAATATTTATTTAATTTATATGTCGCAGATACTTTTTATATCAATTCAGCCTTCTTCCAAAAAAAATGCGACATAAATATATGTATATATACATGTATGTAAAAAACGATAGAGACATATACAGTATATATTGATATATATATATAATGTATGTATGCCTTATCTCATATTCTTTCAAATATAAAAATAATTCTGAATTTATTCGATGATATAAACATGCTTTTAGATCATAATAGATATATTTATATATATTTTCGCTATACGATCAACCAGCTTAGATCAGGTCATTTTCCTTGCGTCTATCAATTGCATTAAAATATTTTTGTCGTTGGACTACGTCAATTAAATAAAATAATCCATTACTGTAGAAGAAAGCTAATGCATAAATCAAAGGAATTATTATAATGCAATAATCAAAGGCACATGTCATTTAAACAGGTCACATTATTTAATGTTTTACAAAAAGGTGGTAAAATAATGAACTTTTATTATCGTCTATAATATCTGTGTACAAGTAAGTACTTACTGGCCCGGTCCCGTTCCCATGCCAATCATTTATTTACAAATTATTTTCATCTTATCACTATTAAACAACATATACGAAATATTTTACATGTTTCGCATACGTTTGACTAAAATGATCAATTAAATATAATAAACTTAGAATATATGTATATATATATATATTGTACATGTGTCCGGGATAAAACGATTTCTTAAAATTGCAGATATTATACTGGCCTTTATTGACTACATTCAATCTACAAAGAGTGCTAACGAGACGTAGTATCAACAGTGATCAACAATAAGTAATTCATTAAAATTTTATCTAACAATTATACACATCAAATACGAGACGAATCTTGGATTGCGCTACGAACAAACGTATGTGAGAGAATAAATGATAATATGTACGTCTTTCTTATATATGTACAAATTTTATATGCATATGTACACGATTTTTTTATAAACATTCAGAATTGCAATACGTAATTCTAGAGTATTTATCCAGAAGCGTC